TTTTCATCTTCTAATGTGGCCCAGGGAAGGTGAAAGGTTGGACACCCCTGGTTTAAAGCATGGACATGTTGGCATGGAAGATGGTGTTCCTTCGTTGCCAAGTCATTTGTGATTTAAGCATGACATATCAGCACCTTAAACTGGGTGTGGAACTGGACAGGCAGTGGATTTAAAGTAGCATAATATCTAGATATCTGGCTGCACCAATAACAGTTTTGACAGCCACATCCTGCACAAATTGCAATTCATAATCCAATGAAGCTAATCTAGAATACGTTACAGTAATCTAACTGAGCCGTTACTAGAACATGGATCACTACAGCTAAATTACCCTTGTCTAAGCCACTCGGGCTTTCTTGTCACAAGGAGAACGTTCATCTGCTTTTTCAGGGAGGATGCAACCTTATTCAAAGAGGAGAAATGTCTCTCTTATTGACCCAAGAACCTTCCACCCACAATGCTTATGTTCTTTGAATATGAAACAATTAATTTATTGACTCATTTCACCACCAATATACTTCACCTGGCAACAAGACTGATAACCTGTGGAGATGTAAATTCTGACCTGACTTATCATCAACTAGTAAATGGCATGCGAGACTTTTTTCTCTTGGCTGTGAGGCAAGCTCTTCTTTGCCTGACTCAGAGAGATCTTTCATATTTTTAGAGGGGTACTTCTGCATTCTTGTATATGTGCAAGGTTTAAAACTGGGACAGTCGTGCTATTACATCGACTGTGAAAAAGTAGTATCACTTACATGAATTACTTGCTTTATTTGGATCAATTAGTCTATCCTGTGTTTGCTGCTTTCCTTCACAAAGGGAGAAGGTACAGTGGGGTCTCTACTTAAGAACGTCCCTACTTAAGAACAATTCTACTTAAGAACAGCTCCGTTTGCTAAATTTTGCTTCTACTTGAGAACAGAAATCCTAGATAAGAACAGGAAAAAAAAAACCTTTCCTGCTCTTTTTTTAACCTTAGGTCACCTTAGGTTAAAAAAAATTCTCCCCCTAGTGGTAGAGTACATATTAACCAGCTTTGCATTAGTTCCTATGGGAACGAATGCTTCAATGTACGAACGCACCTCTGCATGACAAAAAAACAGCCAGAACGGATTAATTGGTTTTCAGTCCATTGCTTCAAAATTAGCTTCGTCAGAAGTGCTCTTAACACTGTTCCCTGCCCTAAGAAAAAAAGAAAAAATATCCCCCTCTAGAGGCAGAAGACGGAATAGCAGCTTCCCATTAGTTTCTATGGACGGAAAAGAGCAGATACGGATTAAATGGGTTTCAATGCATTCCTAATTGAAATGCAGATTCTACATAAGAACTTTTCCACTTGAGAACCACCTTCCAATACGGATTAAGTTCTTAAGTAGAGACCCCACTGTACTAGTTTCTCACAAAGGGATTTTTGTACAAATAGAGGAAAATTATACTTGGTATCTTACTCTGCGTTAGAGTAAAGATGTAATGCAGAGATTTGAGAATCCTTAGAAGGCTATCTCAACCACAAATGGGTTACTTATTACAATGGAAAAGGGTTTACTCTCTTGAAGAAGTCTATACTTTCTCTTCAGGTAATGCATTTGTATAGTTAAATTTGCTCTTAAGAACAGCTGAAAATGCTTATCATTCTGAAATTCTGATAGCATCTCTTCCTTGAGGGGAAAGACTTTGTTGCTATTATTTATTTCTTGGCTACCATGGATAAGTTCCTATATCAAACTCTACGTGAGAACTTTCTTGAAAACAGGACATTTTGAAAACCATTTTTATTTTTTTTTTGGTTAGATTGTGGTCAAAGCAAGCACATGCACTTGAGCAGCATGTGATCTTTTGAACATGCAAAGTGTTAGCTTCTCAAAACATGTATAGTTTACTGCAATGTTGTATGTGACTTTTGCACATTGAACAGAACACTATCCACTATACTTCCATCACATACTGAAGATCTAAGGGTGAGACTCAATGCATATTCCATTTCCCCAGAAACATTAAGTGAGCAAGAGCTACAGCTCCTCTAACAATCTTTCCTCTGTAAGATCCTCCAAAGTGTGGTCATATGATGTTCAAAAACATAAGGAAGGATCTTTGTATCTCAGGGACATTTCACATTGCCAGGACTTTTCTAATCATTTTGGATACTTTTTTTAAATTTTATTTGTAAAACTTTATTTCTTAAATGTTTTAAATGAACTGCTTTTGCTGTTTGTTTTCTGAACTACTTTGAGGTTCTGTTGAGACAGAAAGGCAGTAAATAACTCCCAGTGCATCCCCTACACTGCTTCGCAATTTTTCCTCTTCTCTTCCATTTAGCTTTTCCTTCTGTGCTTTTTATTTACCATATATACCTGTTGGGCTAAATGGGAATTAAAGCAAAACCTAGCTAGCATTTCCACCAGCAACCTCTGACAGAATCCTGACATCAGATTACTTGATCCTCTATAAATCAGTGTCCTTCCCTGTTGTTAAATGACTCTCTGTATACACCTCAAGATTAGAAACAATATAATTCATGCTCATTTGTTTCTTATTGCTGTAAAGCATTCAGTGATAAAATACAGTGTCTGGGACTCATCATGTTTCCCCCCTACAGGTCTGAAACATAATTGTAGTTACAGTATAATAAAAGAATATATAAATAAGGAAACGCTGGGCCTGATTGCACTAAGCAGGGTCCACTGTATATGTAGAGACAAGAGGGGGGAAATTAGCAAATGAAAAGAACATTCATTCATCTGGGAATGTACTAATTTTTTTTAAAAGTCCAACTTCACAAAAGCACTAAACTAAAATTTTCAACCTCAATTGAATGCTGACTTGAATTACTGTCACCAGTAGCCAGCTCCGGATGCAGGGGAGGTGGAATTCTCAGACAAAGTGAGATACTCTGAGAGCAGGTTTTTAGGTAGAGAAGACCCAATCCATTTCAGACTCTATAAATAAAACTAACACCTCCTATTAAGTCAGAAGAGACTTAATATTCTCTGGGAATGTTATAGTAGCTGCCGTGTTACCACCCTCTGAGCTAGCAGCAGTTTCTCAGTCATCCAGGGAATTTTATTTTATTTATTTATTTGTCTTATTTATAGGTTGCTTTTCTCCTGGTATGGGGTAGCTCACAGTATTAAAAAAAAAAGAATTAGCAATGCAGTAAGATATACATTAAAAGCAATTAAACTATAAAACTGATGAAAATACATTGCATAATTAAAAACAAGGAAAATTATCTTAACTTTTTTTTTAAAAAAAAAAGCTTTGAGTCATGATTGTTAAAAGCCTGCCTGAAAATTTTCCAGTGAGCAAGGATGGCTGATATTCATCTAAAACACGTTCAACTGCCTTTTTTTTAAATGCCCAAATTCTTCAAAAGAAAGATACCTAAAAATAAAAGATTAAAAATATTCTCCCCTAGTAATTCAGTGTGTGGAAAGGAAGTGTGCTAGTTTCCAGCATATAACAACTCTATAAATTAAT